TAATATCCATTCATTTTATATGTTCTTCTAACTTATCTGATGTGATGCATTATTTGTTGTTGTTTCCTATCTGAATCCCTAGGGACAGGCAGGTAAGAAACAACAACAACAACAACAACAACAACAACAACACAAAAACAAATAATGAGCAGCAACATACTATTGTAATCAGTAGTGGCAATCAAGTACTGTCTCAGCTTCATAACTTGCAATTGTAATAATAAGAGATACTTTTTTTAAAAAAAAAGATAAATAACTATCCAAGCCATGCTCCTACGTGCAAAGACAATTCCTTTTAGACAATTTTCCTTTTACTGCAGAAAAAGCCTGAGAGTCTGCTACTGCTAGTATTACCCCAAGGCAGATAATATGTAAAGTCCTTTGACTTCTGTAACTGGACTTCTTCTTAAACTTTAGGATTAACAATAAATAAATACTCAATCTAGAAGATGGGGTTTGCAGGTACTTTGACCACACTGGAAATGGCTGTTTATATTCCCATGCACTTCATCATGCTGCTGTGATCCATAGGATTCCAATTTTGGCACAGTTAGACTTTCTAAAGAATGTCCAAAGCAAACATCATGCAATCTTTGTTCAGTGCTATTGCAGAGAGACTTCCTGTTATCCTAGCATATGTTCCAAATTAATGGATGACTTTCAAGCCAAATAGAGAGACGTTTTGAGGATCAGCAAACAGCGACACTGAACAAGTTGATTTTAAGGGTCCGCACATTCAAGCAGAGAGGGAAAAAAATCTTTCCTTCTTATCCTTACAGTTTATGAGATGAAGAAACAGCTAAAGTCCCTTTGATGATTACAGGAAAATAGGGGTGATTGTTCTTCTTAATTGCTTTGCTACATTGCTGGCATGTGATCTTATACATTTGGTCTAAGATCTATTCTTTCATGATAAGTCTCAGATCTAGACCTTGAATTAGATACTTCCAAGAAACCTGATTGTAAACAGCCTTACTCAGGTCTTACAAACCCTTACTTGGTTGAATCAATTCACTTGTAGTGCCATCTCCCTCTTTTTCTACTGCCTTCTATTTTACCAACTATTATTTTCTTTTCTAGTGAGTCATGTTATATCATGATACATCCAAAGTATAACAGTCTCATTTGTTATCCTGGTTCCCATCAATAGAAAAACAGAAAAATTAACCAAACCCATTTCAGTCACAACAACTTACCTCCTCTCCAGTTGATAGGAATGGGTAACCTATTTTACAAGTGATGTTATGCCCAGATTCACAACTATCTTTGGGTATTTTCTGGATATAATGGAAAAAAGTAAAATTTAAAAAATTAAAAATAAAGCAACAATAACAGAAAATATGAGTTCTACAACATGTTCCTAAGAAAGATATTGGGGCTAAAAAAATTAGTAGCGGTAGTAGCAAAAATAGTTTCTCCCACCAAAAATTATTTCCTCATAAAGAAAGTATTTTATACAAAAAGCTTAAGTTGAGGGCATCAGCTCAAAGTACAAAAACCATGCTCTGCATATAAAACATACAAGTTTTTTCATGTATAAAAACCTTAATGAAATAACAGCTACCAAAGTCCATGCTCTGATTGTAGGGGGAGAGTTGCCTACTACCTTAGAGCAGGGATGGACAACCGTATGGGACCAGGGACGAATTTCTCCCCAGATCCTTCCTGTGGACCACATTTCTTTCCGCACCATGACCAAATACCTCTGTTTTCTTCTGCGGTGCCTCTCAAAATGGCATTAAGAAGTAGCATGACATTGTTTCCTGTCACCATTTTGGAGAAAAAGCAGAAATATTTGGGGGCAATATGAAGTTCTGGGGGCTTCTGTGAATATTTTCTTGCATGTTTTCAAGGCTTAGGGGCTATCATCATGACCCGGTGGTGCAACTGTGCCAGCAGGACTGTTGACCAACAGGTCAGCGGTTCAAATCCAGGGAGATTAGGTTGAGCTCCCTCTGTCAGCTCCAGCTCTCCATGTGGGGACATGAGAGAAGCCTCCAACAAGGATGGTAAAACATCTGGGTGTCCCTGGGCAACGTCCTTGCAGACGGCCAATTCTCTCACACCAGAAGCAACTTGCAGTTTCTCAAGTCACTCCTGACATAGAAAAAAACCATGCTTTAGGGACAAAGATTGCCTCCAAATCATGCTGACTACAGAAATGCCAACACCCAATAAGGATGGATGAAATCAATTATATGGTAATTCCAGGGTTTAAAATAACTATTACAAAGCACAGGTTGCAGATTAGACTATGTTTAGGTGCTTAAATTACATCTAAGGAAATGGTCCCATAATGTTACATCCCCATCCCAAAATGGTAATAGTGAAAGAAGACATACCTCAATCCCAACAAAAATAATATTGGGAGAATATTGGACAATGACTCTTGTATTATAAGCACTGTCTTTTTTATTCCTAACAAGCATTTGTACCCAGAACTTGAGGTTGTTCACCTTGACAATGAATGGAGAAAAACTGAAAAATATAAACAACAAATCTTAAAATTAATTAATATGCTATAGCTTATTTTCTCTTTAACTATACCTTCCACAATAATGTATAAGGAAGTGTACTAGAAATAAAGAAGACTTGTGAGGAATTAATTCCCAGAATGATCAGGAGAAAATTGTAAAAACACAGGAGGATGAAGGATGTAGAGAGAACATAAACATGTAGAAATTGAAATACGTAAATAAAAATGTATGGGTACCTTCTGGGAATTGTTAGAAATATGGCAAGTTTTTATTAATGAATATTCAAGATTGAGAACAAGGAAAAATATGATAATTATTACTTTAGATGTTATAACATAGTGCAGGATATTAAAGTTTCTGGTCATTGTGGGAACCCAATTCTGGCATCAACAGAGGTGCTTATATGACCAGCAAGAAGATGGGGACATGGCCATTTCCTTTTTGCTGATTGTGTGGGCTCCTCTGCTGATGTAACAGGGTGCCCACAATGGCTAGGAGTTTGCATAGAGCTCCATGGCTGGTTGGGAGTGATGGTAGTGACAAGAGAGGGAAGTGATGACCCAGCAAGGCTGATTCACTCTTGGTCTGGCTGAATCTCATGGACATCAACTCAGTGCTGCAGAGGATTTGATTGGGTGCATAAGGTGACCTCTAGGACCAAGAAATTGCTATACAATGCAGTGAGAGGACTCAGTATCCAATATTTAGTTTCACAGGTGTCTTATCCACTAGAAGAGATCATTTCAGGGGGAAACTTAACAACTAAAATTCCTTTCCACCCCTACTGAAGAGCGCATGTGCCCTAAGCATTAGAGGGAACCAACCTAGTTCTACTTTGTAAAAGGAAAAAAAGACATGATTTTTATAGCAACCATACATCTTGTCATATTTATGTTGTGAACAACAATTGTTAAGTTCTTTGTACATTTGTGTATTTATTGTGAGAATATAAATATAATATACTACATTTGCATTATATTGAATTTCTTTAAAATATATTTAAAATACATGGACAAATAAAAAAGTAGTTTCAATTATGCTACCTGTTTCCTCCTATGGTTGCATTGGCAGTCAACTGTAGATCAGTAATACATTTCTTCTTGCTTCCACAATCTTTTGTGAAAGGGATCTGCAAAGCATT